ATCACTTTTATTTCCCACCAAATATTGATTTTTTTGATGAAAACATAAAAGTCCATTTTCTGGCTAAACGAAAGGCCCTAGGGCAAAAAGGATTAAAATCTGTGATCACTTTTATTTCGAACCAAATAAAGGATTAAAATCTGTGATCACTTTTATATCCCACCAAAATGCGATTTTTTGGTGAAAACATAAAAGTCCACTTTCTGGCTAAACGGAAGGCCCTAGGACAAAAAGGATTAAAATCTGTGATCACTTTTATATCCCACCAAAATACGATTTTTTTGCTGAAAACATAAAAGTCCACTTTCTGGCTAAACGGAAGGCCCTAGGACAAAAACGATTAAAATCTGTGATCACTTCTATATCCCACCAAAATGCGATTTTTTGGTGAAAACATAAAAGTCCATTTTCTGAAGGCCCTAGGACAAAAGGATTAAAATCTGTGATCACTTTTATATCCCACCAAAATGCGATTTTTTGGTGAAAACATAAAGTCCATTTTCTGGTTAAACGGAAGGCCCTAGGGCAAAAAGGATTAAAATCTGTGATCACTTTTATTTCGAACCAAATATTGATTTTTTGTTGAAAACATAAAAGTCCATTTTCTGGCTAAACGGAAGGCCCTAGGACAAAAAGGATTAAAATCTGTGATCACTTTTATATCCCACCAAATATCAATTTTTTGTGAAAATATAAAAGTCCACTTTCTGGCTAAACGGAAGGCCCTAGGGCAAAAAGTATTAAAATCTGTGATCACTTTTATTTCGAACCAATAAAGGATTAAAATCTGTGATCACTTTTATATCCCACCAAAATGCGATTTTTTGGTGAAAAATAAAAGTCCATTTTCTGGCTAAACGGAAGGCCCTAGGACAAAAAGGATTAAAATCTGTGATCACTTTTATATCCCACCAAAATGCGATTTTTTGGTGAAAACATAAAAGTCCATTTTCTGGTTAAACGGAAGGCCCTAGGGCAAAAAGGATTAAAATCTGTGATCACTTTTATTTCGAACCAAATATTGATTTTTTGTTGAAAACATAAAAGTCCATTTTCTGGCTAAACGGAAGGCCCTAGGACAAAAAGGATTAAAATCTGTGATCACTTTTATTTCGAACCAAATATTGATTTTTTGGTGAAAACATAAAAGTCCATTTTCTGGCTAAACGGAAGGCCCTAGGGCAAAAAGGATTAAAAAGGGCAAAAAGGATTAAAATCTGTGATCACTCTCATATCCCACCAAAATGCTATTTTTTTTGGTGAAAACATAAAAGTCCATTTTCTGGCTAAACGGAAGGCCCTAGGGCAAAAACGATTAAAATCTGTGATTACTTTTATATCCACCAAAATGCTATTTTTTTGGTGAAAACATAAAGGTCCACTTTCTGGCTAAACGGAAGGCCCTAGGACAAAAAGGATTAAAATCTGTGATCACTTTTATATCCCACCAAAATACGATTTTTTGGTGAAAACATAAAAGTCCATTTTCTGGCTAAACGGAAGGCCCTAGGGCAAAAAAGATTAAAATCTGTGATCACTTCTGTTTCCCCAAAATACGATTTTTTTGTGAAAACATAAAAGTCCTTTTTCTGGCTAAACGAAAAGCCCTAGGGCAAAAAGGATTAAAATCTGTGATCACTTTTATATCCCACCAAATATCAACTTTTGTGAAAATATAAAAGTCCACTTTCTGGCTAAACGGAAGGCCCTAGGGCAAAAAGAATTAAAATCTGTGATCACTTTTATATCCCACCAAAATACGATTTTTTTGTGAAAAGATAAAAGTCCACTTTCTGGCTAAACGGAAACCCCTAGGACAAAAAGGATTAAAATCTGTGATCACTTTTATATCCCACCAAAATGCGATTTTTTGGTGAAAACATAAATGTCCATTTTCTGGCTAAACGGAAGGCCCTAGGGCAAAAACGATTAAAATCTGTGATCACTTTTATATCCCACCAAATATCAATTTTTTTGTGAAAATATAAATGTCCACTTTCTGGCTAAACGGAATTAATTAAGTCATATTCCCAAAATCACAATATTTTGCTTACTCTGTAGTTTAAGCCTTAAGAAAAATAATCATTGACTCACAAAATTATATATTTTATATCCTTATGAGTCTCTAATATGGACGTTATGACTATTGGTGTGTCCTTAGTCTGTGTCTAGCCAAAACTTAAGATCTGAATGTTTATCGTCACACTATTTCCATTAAACAGTATAAGGTAGACTTAAGCATTGAAAGAAAATCTGGATTGGAAAGAATAAAAGGTCTAGATGATATTGATAATGCAAAATAAGTTAAACAACTGTTTCGACAAACACAAAATATTTCCATTAGGAAAACAGCTCGTAAAGTTAAATGCTCTGATTCTTTTGTGAGCTAAAGCTAAATCTAGGTTGAAGTCGTATAAAGTCGTTCAGAGAGTTTCTAATCAATTCGGCAAAGAACTAAGAATTTTGTTTAAATATACTTGTTGTGTGATGGATAATGAAACTTATGTACTGGGAGACTTTTCACAACTTACGGTTCAAAATTTTTATACGGCTGATGAACGAGGTAATGTTCAAGAATAATTTCCGATAAAAACAAGCAAAATTCCCCAAGACGTATATTGTAGATCAAGCCATTTACAGTTGTGGCAAAAGAAGCCAATCAATTGTAACTTTAGGCTCGATAAACACAGAAATATCTATTACGGGGCATCTCAAAGAAGGGGGTTTACCTCTATCTTTAAACAGCTTAGAGAGTTTTCATATTTCTGGAACGATTAGGCATCATGTCACTATGGAAAAAAGGCTCTTCAGTGGTTCTCGAACAATAATGACAATTTTGTACCACGAGAGGTCCAGATTTTTGGCCTATTGGACTTTTGTAAAAAAAATATTATCACAGTAAAGTTGCGACTTTAAGCGTCAGTGGACTATCTCATCCAAAAATGCAAGGGATACAACTATAAGATTTTTAGTAGGATGACTTCCGTAAAAAGTGGATAAATTTTTGCAAAATTTCTTGAGGATCGGTCTCTACCTCCCAAAATTATTTTAAAGATGGTTCCATATAAAGTTATATTACGAAAATCTTGTTGATGATCATGTCATATTGATTAGATCATGTATTTTACGCGAGCGAGATACAAATGTAGATTGAGTTTAGAATGTTTTGATTTTTACTATATAAAATACATACATATACACCAAGACCTCATATTTCGAAGATCACATTGACGATCAAGTTATATTCATGATGAACATGTAATCTTCTCTAGTGCGATCGACATTTTTATAGAGTTTATAATGTTTTGATGATCACTATATAAGATTTTTACTGGTTTTTACTTATCAGAAATCCCTTAAATTTGAGGCAGGAAAGTATGTACTAGCAATATTTATATTAGAAATGAAATTATAAAGTACGGAAAGCAAAGAAAACTAAGCTAAAGGGAATTGACACATACTTTATTAGTGAAAGGAATGCGCTAAAATTTCTAACTGAAAATCGAAAGAAAATCTAAATAAAATAGTCATCGCCCTAACAAAAAAACGTATACCTTTCGCTAAAAACAACTGTTGATTTGTTTAGAAAACACATGTTAAAGCCAAGAAATCAACAGGAAAATACGTAGCATGAAGAATAGAAAAATAAAAACAGAATAAGAAAATGTCCATAAAAAATTAAAATGATGCAGCACAAATTTATGCAAAACAGCCAAAGCGCATATATCAAAGAAATTATCAAAGAAATACAAGCATAATAATTCTTAAAACTTTAACCTGGAAATGAAGAAATTAAACTGATTTTCGAATGCACAGTAGTTTAGAAACGTTACTTTGGTCTTCAAGTCGCCTACAAAGCCAAACTGCTGTAAATCAAAAGTATTAGCTTAACTCAGTGATAACATTGGAGGCAAGTACTAACCTCGCTTGCTAACAAGTAGGCAGTTATGTAAGCACTGCAGATAAGGAGTTTGGTAAATTTGTAAAAAAACATTCGAAAAGAAAATATCAAGGCTACAAAGTAAGTACTTACGTATACAGTTATTTGTAAGTCATTACTATACGCCTTCTAAGTAATGCAGGCGGTATGTAGTGGTCATTGAAAAGTAAGTTCCTGAGTAAGTAGAAGTCATGACCATGTTTTTGCTGAGATTTCAGCACAATCATGTTCTAATGTCTCCTATAAAAACTGAGATTTTGAATATGTATTTCCCAAAAATTATTTCTAAACCACTGTGGAATGCGAGAATGAAAAAATCCATATTAATGATAATTTTACATCTGTCTCCTATAGATCATTAGTTGTACAGGAAAAAACTTAGGGCGAGTAAAATAAAAAATGTGACATTAAGAACCTGGAATAAATAAATCCTAATATTACAATAGTAAAACAGGCGAGGCAGAGATATAGTTACATTCGGTATAATATTAGAATCAACATGAAATCTTATTCTCAGAGGACTATTTCTAGGGACACTCACTGTTTTTGAAACAACCCACAGCTAAAAGTAGCAACACTTCTGTTGATGCTAATATTTTAGTGTTTATTAGTTGTATTCATTCTTTAAGATACTTTGTTTAAAACGCGCATACCTGTAGTTCAAAGAATTTTCTTAATAGCTAAAATAAATTTTCACAAACTGTTTAAAAACAGCTTAATTTTTGCCATAAACATAGGATTTTTCGGAAATACCTGTGTGTGTAATAAAATTACCAAGAAAAAGTATATTATTCAAATACTATTTAAGGCACTTAGTCCAGGTAGTTGAAATTTAATACAAAATCTATAATACATATTTGAAGTGAATTGTTAAATTAACATGTCACTAATGACATGCAAAAGTGACTATTTGGAAATTTCCAAGAAAATTTCGGTGTAAAACTAACGAACAGATTTAGGGATCATATGCTTAAAAGATCGTAAAAAATTAGTTTTTGTGAAATTTACTATAAATAGTTAAGGACATGCTGCAGGACATTATCAGTTGCGTTTAGTAAATAAAGCAGTGAACATCAGAGAAATAATATAAAAAAATGAAACCATTTCAAAAAGTATTTTATTTAACTGCCATAGTAGCTTTAGGATCCCATGTTACAGCCATACCTGTTGATCCATCATTGTCTCTGGACAATAACGATGAAGCTACAAATCGGGAAAATGAACAAACAGAAGATCAGAAATCACCGCCTACTTCAAGTCCAGTCTCTAATTCTGATAAGGATTTAGAAACCTCTAACTCAAATCAAGAAACAACATATGTGGTAAGTAAAGCCGATAAGTTTCAAAAATATATATAAAACGGAGTTACAAATTTCGAAAGAAAATACTCAAAAAGTATTGATCTTAAATTTCTCAAGAATTGTTTAACATTGTTTCATCAAGATCACTTTTAAAATCTTATATTTCTCTCTTTTAGCTACCCGAACATCATTCATCTGGTGGCACTGCCAGCGGTCATTTTGATCCCTCCCTATATGCCGGTTATTTAACTCCCGAAGCTTTCCAACAATATCTAGCACAATTTGCTGGAGCCTTTGGACCTTATGGCTATCCCGGCTATGGTCCAGCTCCCGTCTATCCTGCCCCCTATGCTGTACAAACTGGTTATGAAGGCTTTTTAGTGCCCTCACCATCCACTAGCTTAACAGCTAGTGGCACAGTTAATTCCTCAAGCGGCAATATATTAACCGCTCTCACTAATCTCATTCCTGCTCTAATGAACTCTACTATATTCCGTGTAGTTGCCACCGTTGTAGGAGCTATATTAATGTTAATTTTTGGTGGTGCTGTTACGACTGCCATCTGCAATCTAACACCTCTATGCGATATTTCCTTTAAAGCTGTTACATATCTGAGAGGAAATGGTGCTGCCAATATGGGTCGCATGTTGGCTGAAGAAATGACACCCGAAAGAGTAAGACGTGCATCGGAATTTGTGCGCAGTGCTATACGTAAATATACGGAAATGCAGAAGGTTATGGCAGCAGAGAAAAATTTGAATGAATGAGCAAAAATGGGTTTTGAAAAACTTTATTTTAAAGTCTAAATTATGACAAGAATTTCAGAATCTCGTAATTTAATATGTATGTATTTAAAAAAAATAACGTAAAGAAAATGTAATTTAAGTATTAGTAATTTACACGCTAGATATTAAGTAATGACAATTATTCTTTTAAATAAAAGAAAATTTTTTTAAAATATTAAAAGTTTTATTTTAGTTTTACATTGGCCTCTGCATTAAAGCAGTTAATAATTTACTTTAACACTTTATTCTTTATTAAAAAAACTTCTAGAATGTTTTTTTTCTTTGCTTAATAACAATAAAATTGTTAGTGGTTTTGCATAAAATTTAGAACAGTAATAATAATACTTGACTTTATGTCAACAACCTGATAAGAATTGAAAATTATATATTTTTAACACTTCATCATATGGTATGCAGATAGTAGACAAAGCTTATCTTTCATAAAGTTAACATGATTTTGATACCCACCATCACCAAAGATGGGAGTATTGATTTTGTTATACCGTTTGTAACACATCGTAATATTGGCCGTATATCTAATATCTATTCTGGGTCTTGAAATAATTATAGGTTACTATTAATTTCGAAATTTCAAGTAGGCGAGATGCCACACCCACATGCAACATAAGTATTAAAAGTAGCATATCTCAGAAACTTCAATAGGGAGTGGGAGTGGCAATATAAAATCAGTATATCTTAGAAAATATAACAGAGTTCTAAAATTTTGTTGAAGCCACTTGAGTGTATTTGTGAATATTTAAGACAAAATGGCAGAATTTTATATTTTCACTAAAAAATGGATTTTTGATGAGAAATAAAAGTGATCACAGATTTTAATCCTTTTTGCCCTAGGGCCTTCCGTTTAGCCAGAAAATGGACTTTTATGTTTTCACAAAAAATCGCATTTTGGTGGAAAACAAAAGTGATCACAGATTTTAATCCTTTTTGCCCTAGGGCCTTCCGTTCAGCCAGAAAATAGACTTTTATGTTTTTACTCAAAAAATGAATTTTGGCGGGTAACAGAAGTGATCACAGATTTTAACCTTTTTTTAATCCTTTCCGTTAGCCAGAAAATGGTCTTTTATGTTTTCACTCAAAAATCGAATTTTGGTGGGAAATAAAAGTGATCACAGATTTTAATCCAATTTGCCCTATGGCCTTCCGTTTAGCCAGAAAATGGACTTTTAAGTTTTCACTAAAAAATCGAATTCTGGTGGGAAACAAAAGTGATCACAGATTTTAAATCTTTTTTTTGCCCTAGAGCCTTCCGTTTAGCCAGAAAATAGATTTTTATGTTTTCACTAAAAAATCGAATTTTGGTGGGAAACGAAAATGATCACAGATTTTAATCCTTTTGCTCTAGGGCCTTCCGTTGAGCCAGAAATTGGACTTTTAAGTTTTCACTAAAAAATCGAATTTTGGTGGGAAACAAAAGCGAGATTAGGTTAGATTTTTATTATTATTTTTATATTAGGGCCTTACGTTTAGCCAGAAAATCTGAAAATCTCAAAAATGGATTTTTAGTGGGAAACAAACTTTAATCCTTATTGCCCCAAAGCCTTCCTTTTAGCCAAAAAATGGATTTTTATGTTTCTACTAAAAAATTTAATTTTGGTGGGAAAAAAGAAGTGATCACAGATTTTAATTCTTTTTGCCCTAGGGCCTTCCGTTTAGCCAGAAAATTGACTTTTATGTTTTCACTAAAAATTTAATTTTGGTGGGAAAAAAGAAGTGATCACAGATTTTAATTCTTTTTGCCCTAGGGTCTTCCGTTTAGCCAGAAAGCGGACTTTTATATTTTCACTAAAAAATTTCCGTTAGAAAAAGTAAATTTTCAAATTGCAATTTATGCTACTTGTCCAAATGTAGAGTAGTAAAAATTCGTTTTAGCATTGCATATTAAAACTTTGCTTTATATATCAAAAAATAATTTAAGAGTAAATAATCAACATCCCCTTAAAGCCTTCTAGACAAATTTTTTTCCGTTTGTAGTTTCGATTTTATTTATATTCAAAAAATAAAAAATAACGAAATGTAGGTTTAGTTCAAGGTTGCAATAACAACAAAACACGCCTTAAATGGGTATAATAACAGAAAAAATATAATAATAAATTAAAACAAATAAAATAGTAAAATTTTGCTCTTTCTTTAATGATTCATTCACACATTTAGTTTAGTAACTGCTACATATTTGGGGGTACAATGACTTGTAAGAAATAAAATATTGTGATAATTTTGTATTTTTTTGAAGGCAATTAAAATTGATAGTGGAATTTTCGAAATCCCTTTCTAAACCAGTTTCAAACGTAAACTGCAATTGTGATACAGAAAATAAGAAGAAAAAATAGCTTAGTCACGTTTAAAGTTTAAATACTATATGGAATTTTCAGTTACTTTTTAAATACCTACTGAAAAATAAAAAAAAAAAATTAACAGTTTTTTAACTAAATTGCATTTGGCTCATAATGTGTGAGTGGTATAATTTAAACAGAAAATAAATTAAGAACATTTGCAGCTATTGATTACACATTAAGATAAAGATTTTATATCTGGGTAAAATGCTTATTGTCAGGCTCATTTGTGATTCCTTTAATGTTCGATATCTCAATATTTAACATTAATGCAATTTATTTAGTACACAAGTATTATATAAATTAATTTGAATAATTTTTATAACATTTTTCTAAACAATAAGTCTCCGACTAAATGCAACTGTGTTTAGTCTTCTATATAAATCTATCTCACATTTTTCTATGGAATGAATTACTCTCATTGTTAGTCGAAATATATTTATATAGTACATACATATGTACTATATAAATATATTTATATAGTACATACATATTGTTTAGACTTGCCGATCCTATTCCTACATATTTGTGAGTCTATAAATTATTTAGATTGTTGAAACTTGCATTTGCCCCCAAATCGCTCCCCTTTTTCTAGATATTTTTTATTTTTTATTGCCATTTGAACTGTGGCGTGTATCTAATCTCAATTCGAAACCATTTACTTGAAGTGCAATTTTTGTATCTGTTACTAAGTGTTTAAATACTTGCACTATATAAAAAAAATGTTTAATTAACTGACAAATACTTGTTGAATGTGGAATTCTATATTTATATTGAATATAATAAATTGGTATTTGCAATTTTACCAGATGGTCGGTTAGAAAATTGCAATGGTTTTATGTGAAGAGAGATATTATATCAATAGATAATTTTAGATATCACCATTATTAATCCATTTCCTAAAATATTAAATCGGTTATTTTTACTATAAATATACGATCGGGAACATGCTCGAAAGCTTGTCCTTTAATAATAGTTTAGACACAATTTTACAACATGGCCGGTAAAGAACTCACTGAGTTACAGTGGGTCAAAATTTAAAATTTTTGTCTATCTACCTATCCACCTATCTATCTATCTATCTATCTATCTATCTATCTATCTATCTATCTATCTATCTATCTATCTATCTATCTATCTATCTATCTATCTATCTATCTATCTATCTATCTATCTATCTATCTATCTATCTATCTATCTATCTATCTATCTATCTATCTATCTATCTATCTATCTATCTATCTATCTATCTATCTATCTATCTATCTATCTATATATCTATCTATCTATCTATCTATCTATCTATCTATCTATCTATCTATCTATCTATCTATCTATCTATCTATCTATCTATCTATCTATCTATCTATATATCTATCTATCTATCTATCTATCTATCTATCTATCTATCTATCTATCTATCTATCTATCTATCTATCTATCTATCTATCTATCTATCTATCTATCTATCTATCTATCTATCTATCTATCTATCTATCTATCTATCTATCTATCTATCTATCTATCTATCTATCTATCTATCTATCTATCTATCTATCTATCTATCTATCTATCTATCTATCTATCTATCTATCTATCTATCTATCTATCTATTCTATCTATCTATCTATCTATCTATCTATCTATCTATCTATCTATCTATCTATCTATCTATCTATCTATCTATCTATCTATCTATCTATCTATCTATCTATCTATCTATCTATCTATCTATCTATCTATCTATCTATCTATCTATCTATCTATCTTATCTATCTATCTATCTATCTATCTATCTATCTATCTATCTATCTATCTATCTATCTATCTATCTATCTATCTATCTATCTATCTATCTATCTATCTATCTATCTATCTATCTATCTATCTATCTATCTATCTATCTATCTATCTATCTATCTATCTATCTATCTATCTATCTATCTATCTATCTATCTATCTATCTATCTATCTATCTATCTATCTATCTATCTATCTATCTATCTATCTATCTATCTATCTATCTATCTATCTATCTATCTATCTATCTATCTATCTATCTATCTATCTATCTATCTATCTATCTATCTATCTATCTATCTATCTATCTATCTATCTATCTATCTATCTATCTATCTATCTATCTATCTATCTATCTATCTAATAATTTTGATAATTTCCGAAAGGGTGGATATATGTATGTATAATAAACTAGGCCCATACATGCATACATAAGTATTTGTATATATAATTGCGTTCCGAAATTTAGTTTAACGTTACGATACTTGTTTTGATGGTGGGTATATGGGATTCGATATTGCCGATTATTGTTGTATTCTTTCTTTGGTATTAAAAGAGGTAAAGTTAGATTAGAATATTTAAAATTCTAAACAAAAATTTAAGCAAATCGTGAGACACAGAGTCTTAATTTTTATACTATTTGATTCACATATGTATGTATATATATATATATTCTGAAGGCCAATAAGTATCGCATTTTAATACCATAAATAACACCTTATCAATTATTGAACATATTAAAAAACCTCAACTCTTACTAAAATAAGAAAAAATCTTGTGGTTTCAAAATAAGTATACAAATGCTACTTAAAAACAACTGATCTTGTATTTTCAAAACTATTATGAATCAACCATTCTATTCAATAGCTTTATAGTACATAAATAGTTTGTTCATATGTATGTACGGATGTACTACAAATTTTGTATAGTTTTGCAAAATAGTAAAAAAATCCCATTACGAATTTTAAGATTGTTTGAATCATATTTTTTGTTTCGTTTAAAGTTTGACATTATTATGAAATTCTCTAAAACATAAATTCTCACCATGAGTATTAAACATGTCTTAAGCCTTTATTATTTACTCAACTTAACTGTACGATCATCAGTCATTCACTCACTTTTTCCATTTAATCTCAAAAATGACGTGTTCTTTTAAATGGGGGTTTTCATATAAACATTTATACAAATTTGTTTTTTTCTGAAATTTCATTAGTGTAATTTTTTTTTTTTTAAAGTTTTTGCCTAGTCATCATGATCATGTTTGCTGATCGAGTGTTAAGAGAGCGTAAATAGAGAGTATGCGTAAAAAACATTGTAAAACAAAACAAAAAACAATAGTACGTATAAAATTAATAAAAAATTTTATTATTATGAATACAAACAAAACAAAATTTTTATTGCGTTTCGCAGAATATTTTTGTTTATCCCAAGTTGTTTGTATAAATAATAGTTAACAAATTTGCGGGGTAAAATAATATTAAATAGAATTTAAAAACACCCTACAGTAATAGAAGGTGTAAGATATAAACAAATATATAAATGTAGAACCTTTAATTGCTACAAAGTAGGAAAAATATTGGAATAGACTTTCCATAGTCTGAAATCGTTCCATTTTGCCATATTTCAATAAAATTGAAGAAACTTTTTTTGAAAAATGATGCACATTTCCCCAATCTAGAATGACATCAGTCAAAACAAAAAAGTTTCTCGATTTTCGCGATTTTTATGTATAGAAACAATGAAATTAATCCGATGTGTCGTCGTACTATATAAAGTGCATTTTAGAGTTATATCATCTAAAAGGGACATTTCTAGTCTTTATTGATTAAATATCTTTTCAATTTAAAAGATATTATCTTAAATCTAATGCATATACTTGACATAAACTTAGTTAAACCCCTACAGTAAAATATGGGCGGTAATATCAAGGTTACGCCCACATTATTTGTTGGTTATGCTTTAAGTGTTTTGAGAATTCTCTTTTGATCACAGTTTAAAACAAAATTTTATGAAAATCCGCATTAAGCTTAACAAATATAACTAAAATATTTGTATTGACCATGCCCACTTTCTCTATTTCAATTAGAGTCTGTTTAACTATATTTTATTATATTGCAAAGTAAATACTAATATCACAATTAAAAATTCATTAACAACTATTTACTGGAATTAAAATAAATCTTAATAACGTAAAACAATTGTGAATGAATTTAATAAAAAAATTAAATGCAATATAATCAAAAATCAATCTCTCGTAAGCAATTTTGAAAATAAAACTTGGTTGGAGACTTCAATCACATTTATGTACTTATTATTAGTTTAATCGAAAAACATGGCTGTCAACATGTACCTCTTTCTCTGTACGAGTAGTTAACAATAAACAGAGTTAGTTATCTATTAGTTTAGTTATTTATATGGACGACTAAAGTCTATTATAACAAACTAATGTTTTTCTAGCAATTAATAATGACTTGCTATCGTAAACAATATCAAAAGGTGTAGTGCAGTCAATACAATTTATAAATTATATAAAACAAATAATTTTCTAAAGTTTTAAAAACATTTTGTTAAAGAACTTGATAGACAACAGAACAAAAAATAAAGTAAGTATAATTTTCAAAATAAATACTAAATTATTTATAATAAAAGTGTTTATATTTGTTTATTTTAGCCATGGATTTCTATTACATGCCTCCCTCTGCCCCCTGCCGTGCTGTCGAAATGACTGCCAAGGCGGTTGGTGTTAAATTGAATAAGAAAATCTTAAATTTACCTGCTGGTGAGCATTTAAAACCTGAATTCTTAAAAATCAATCCCCAACACACCATACCCACTTTGGTCGATGGTGATTTCGCTTTATGGGAGTCTCGGGCCGTTATGGTTTATTTGTGTGAAAAATACGACAAAACCCAAAAATGGTATCCCGAATGCCCCAAAATTCGTGCTGTCATTAATCAACGTTTATATTTTGATATGGGTACTTTATACAAAAGTTTTGCCGACTATTATTACCCACAAATTATGAAGAAAGCTCCTGCCGATCCTGAAATGTTGAAAAAAGTAGAAAGTGCTTTTGAATTTTTCAACACTTTCTTAGAAGGACATAAATTTGCTGCTGGTGATGATGTCACCGTAGCTGATATTGCATTATTAGCTTCAGTTACCAATTTTGAAGCTGCCAAATATGATATGAGTAAATATTCGAATGTTGCCAGATGGTATGAAGAGTGCAAAAAGGTAGTTCCTGGCTATGCCGAAAATTTAGAGGATTGTTTGAGTTATAAGAAATTTGTTAAACAAGATTAAATGTAAAAGATTTGTTTTTAATTTATTTTTATTGTTAAATATTTGTAAATAAACTAGTTTTTATGTAATAATTTATTGAAATTATGTGTTTTGGAAATTTAGCGAAAAGCTAAAAATTTTACTTTCCGTTGAACATGGTCTTTGAACAGGGTATTATGCATTTGATTCTAATATTAGTCCTACACCTTTTAGTTTACAACTTAAAGTATTCCGATCGTCTCAGAATCACTTTCTGAGTTGATTTAGTTATGTCTGTCTGCCGTCCATCTGTGTCCATGTAAACCTTGTGCACACGCTAAAGGTAGCAATTTTGAAGATAATTTGGTGAAATGTGGCATATAGTCTTCTTTTGACCCAAGCCTATTGAAAATGGGTAAAGTCGGTCCATTATTTCACATAGCCCCCATAAAACCGTGCCCCCCGAATAGGGCTTTTGAACTCATAATTATGTTAAATGTTCTTGTATCACTTCAAAAATTGGTAAAACTTAGTTTTATATACATAAGTATCATTAGCTGCCGATTTTCGCAATGATCGGACCCTATCGTGCATGCAACAGTCAGGCGAACATATCTAGGTCGCCTTAGAATCTAATAATTCTGTTAGTATTTTCATATTACAGGTCGTAAGCAGACTCTAATTCTAAGTATTTGGAAAATCATTAATTTAGGTTAAAAACGGCAGATTATAATTGCTCACTTATTCTACGTTACTTAGAACCTGTGGCTTTGTGACGTTTTTATTGAACCTTATCTTGACTCTAGCAGACAGTCATAATATTTATTTTAATATTTTGAAGAAATTTATGTCAGAGATTATTAAATTAAAGCGATTAAAGAGGTATATAAGTATATAAAGTTGTATGTCAAATGTTTTGAAAATATTAAATCCGATTTGAATGAAATATAAAAGTAATCTGTGATGACATATTGAAATAAATCATTGTTTTGCTAGCAAGATCAATTTGGAGATATTTAAGAACTTTTCAGAAAAAATCTCAAAAATGTTTAATGATAGCATAAGTTTGGGGAGAAATGGTAGTTGAATAGAGGATTAGTCACCTGTAATAACTCATTAAAATTTCGACTATATAGTTTAATATTCTCTTTTTCTTTAAGCAACTAACAATTAAAATAAACATTCATTACAAATTAAAAAATTTATAAAACAATTATATTGTGGGAACGATAATATAACAAACAACTGAAACGTTCTAGTAAATAGTACCTATTTTAGTAAAAATTCTGTTTGTATTTTTGTTAGTAATTAAAGTTTTTGCATACATACACTCAACAAAATAATTATAAGGAAATCTAACTGAGTGCAAATGCACCTTATATTGACCGATCTGCAGTTAGTAATATGATTTCAGAAATGAGTTAATATTGTTTTAAAATTGTACAGACATCTATAATTAGAAAGAGATTCTCAGTTATACCATACATACAACATATACACACTTTTCAACTGTTATTCGGTAGAAATGGACTCCGAGAAATAGGTACGTGCAAATATAGTTAAAACTTTTCAAAAAATCCAATATGGACTTTCATAAAAATCGTAAAGGTCCGTAGTTTAACGTCACACTATTTCAAAAGATATTAAACGGTATAAGGAAGACTTGAACAAGGAAAGAGAACCTGGATCGGAAAGAAAAAAGGTCTAGCTGATATTGGATTAGATTAGGTGGATAAGAGGATGTATCTATATAAAATCCAAAAAAATACACCTAGGCCAGTATCAGGCCTACTGTGCGCCCCTTTTCATGGAAAATGTTTCCTGATAAAAACACTGAATATATTATCGTCCGATGTTCAGAAACTCTAGCAGATATTGATAAAGCAAAATAAATCGAAAAACTGAAAATCGTAACGTTAAATGTTCTGCTTCTTTTGGGCGCAGAGCTAAAACTGGCTTGAAGTCGTATAAAGTTCAGAAAATTCCAGATCAAATCGCAAAACAGCAATAAAAAACGAGTGAAAAAAATTATGTAGAATTTTATAAGAAATACACTTGTTGTTGGAGAGACTTTTCATATTTCCAGGTCAATGTTGAAGAATAATACCGGACAAAAAAAAAAACCAACAAAATACCACAGGACCATTTGTGTCATCAGGCTTGATAAAGAAATATATATTACGGACTGTGTAAAAATGGCTTTATCTATCTTTAAAGATCTCAGAGAGTCTTCATAGTTTTGAACCGATTTATCATTATGCCACTATGGAAAAACACCCTTAAGTGGTAATTAAACAATAATGCACAAAACTGTCCAGAACTTCAGTGTGTATAATAGATAGTATTGGCCTCTTATAAAAAAATTACATCCGAAAACCGAACATCAATGCTAAGAGGTAAGTACATACGTATATAGTTATTTGTAAGTCATTATTAGACGCCTCCTAAGTTATGCAGGTAGTAGTTATTGAAAAGTAAGAAAGTACAAGTCATTATTATGTGTTTGCTGGGTAATGATTACTCTTTCTATCATCTAAGGGCATATTATAGGAAAAGGATTTTTTATTGAAAATTTAAAAACATTTAAAAGTATGTTTACTAGAATTTCAATTCAAGTAAACAAAATTACCTCTAATGCCAATTCTTAAAATTGGTAAACAATTAATCATTTTTAGATTACATTTTACTAAATTGTAGCATGACATCACAAGTGTTTATACATATCAAAAAGTATGATATTTTTGATAAGATTAAAATCAGAATTTTGCTTACTTAATCTAATCAATGAAAAACAAACACGGGCATTTAACTGATAAGAAAAAAGGTTAAATATAAAAACCATATTTCACAGGGTCTTAAAAATCACTTAAATTTTATTATAGAGCGCAAAGAATCAAACAAACAAATTAATAATTTTCTAAATCCATTTAAGGGTTAAATAACTTGCATTTGCAGTAAAATGGCACAAAAAATTCAAATAAAATAAAAGTTTGCATGTAATTTTGGTGAATGTGGTGGGTTGTAATTGAAACTAGTTTAAACTACATTTTTGCGTTTAAGTTTTTTTCTTTTCTACTTCATATATTTATTCAATAAAAAAGAGAAACTTGAGTTACAATTTTTTGCACTTTTCGTGTATTTTTGTTTCGTTTCTTAATATAAGAAAACTATTTTCTTTTCTATATTTTAATCTTTAGCAGCAGCAAATCTACATCCATATATTTTTTTTGTGAAAACATGTTACTGTTTAGGTTGGAAGTATTTTAAATCATGGCAAGACTCCACATTTTCAGCATAACCAGGTATTACTTGCTTACAGTTATTATACCATTTGGTCACATTTGGATATTTGCTGTAGTCAAAACCTACAGCTTCAAAATTAGTCATGGTAGCGACTAGGGCTATATCGGCAATGGTGTAAGTATCGGTATCGGCGGCATACAATTTGGCGGTCATAAAGGTTTCCAAATGATTAAAGGCCTCTTCGACTAGTTTGAACTTTTCAGGGTCAGCGGGTTGATTTTTCATAACAACGGGCACAAAATATTCCACAAAACTCTTAAAGAACACACCCATATCAAAGTAAAGACGTTGATTAATCAAAGCCTTAACTTTGGGCACCTTGGGGTAAAGAGCACCCGATTGGTCATATTTCTCTGCCAAATAAATGAGTATAGCTCTAGATTCCCACAAGACAAAATCACCATCTACTATGGTGGGTATAGTGTGTTGAGGATTGATTTTAGTAAAAGCTGGATCCATTTGCTCGCCAGCCGCCACATTGATCAATTTCTTATTTAGTTGCACACCTACAGCTTTGGCGCACATTTCAACGGCCCGACAGGGAGGTGAGGGAGGCAAGTAATAGAAATCCATATTTAAATCTAAAATTTTTTATTTAACACACTTGTTAGTTAAATTATTTATTTTTTTTTTTCGAAAATTTAATATTTTACCTTTTGCTATGCCGGTTTGTTAAGGAGTAATTAAAATGTTTTATTTTCTATATTTTCCAAAGTCTTGAAATAAACATGTTTTTTCATTTTTTTCCTTATCACAAAAAGATTAAAAATTATTATCTAACCGATATAGTTTTTAATATACAAAAAATAGCACAAATATTGGTACCGTCATACTAATAGCAAAACTTATGTTCCAATATTTATTGTAGAAGTTTCATACTTTACTACAGTTAATACAAATGCTAAGATAATGATGACTTGTAAATGACAAATATTTGAATTATTAAACTGTTTATATTCTTAAACATATCTAACTATAACATGAAATATTTGTAATCTTTTTTTAATTATTATGGAAATTTACCAAATAGTATTGTTAAATGAACTGTTAGCATGAAAGGTATTTTTTAGGTAAGTAAAGAGACAAGTTAAGAAATTACATAAAGTTAAAATGACTTTCTGTATATTTTTATCAGAAGTTATAAAAAATGAGGCTTTGACAAACTTATTCCAAACTCTACCGATTTTTGGGAATTTGGACCTTTATACAAACTTGCTTTAATTGTGAAATACATTAAGAAGATTCACATGGCAACATTATGATATCCATTAAGGTGTCTCGTGGACCACTTTTTAGTCGGAATATAAAAGAGAAATATAAACAAATATTTTTTTTGAAAATGGCCTCAGTTCACTACTAGAGGTCTCAGTATAATATGATAAAAATGTTGCAAATATTTTTCTGTGTAAGCTAAAAAATTAGGACAATTTCGATAAAAGTCGAAAACAATATGCCTCCCAAACCTAAAATCGTTTTGTGGGCCAAAAGTACTCTAAACTAATTTTAAAAATATTTTTCTCATAATCAGCTTAAACTTACGGAATTTTTGAGACCCATTTCGAAAAAATTGTAGAATTTTTTTAACATATTGTACTGAGATCAAGATTTTCAATCGATGGTAGGGAACTGATGACCGTTTTAAAAGACTATTAATACGCATCGATTGAGAGGCCTTCCTACTTGAGGTTCTTAAAAAACCTGTTTCTCGGGACACTCTAATATCCATGGGTCGGTAATGGAACGAATTTAACAGCGTTTAGCATTTAAATGAGCAAGCTATTATTACATTAATAGTAATTTTCAGAAAGCGATTAAGGACTGTTTCAGAATAAAATTTTCTAGCCAAAACTTATCTTTGGTCCAAGGCATTATAATTTTTTTGTGATCACGTTAGTTTAAAAAGTATGTCTGATATTATTTTTTCTTTTCATAAAAATCTGACATGAACTTTCATATAAATAGCAAAAGATATGAAGGTTCATCGTCATACTATTTCAAATGCGATTAAATAGTATAAAAAGTCTTTAACATTAAAAAAAAAATCCGGGATCAGGAAGAAAAAAGAAGGTCTAGCAGATATTGATAAGGTAAAATACGTCGAAAACTGTTTTGAAGATCACTGGGTTGAAGTCGTATAAAGTTCAGAAAGTTCCTCATCAATTAAATTAGAGGAAAAAAGAGCGAAAAAACTTCCGAGTGATAATCCCCAAGATGCTTCTTGTGTAGAAAGCCAGACTGATAAACACAGAAGTATCTAATAAAGAGTATCTGCAAAAAGGGGGTTTACATATCATTAATAAAATATATTTTTGAACCCATTTGTCACCATTACGCTATGGAAAAAAGGCTCTTAAGTGGTATTCAAGCAATAATGAAGATTTTGTATAACGAAAGGCAAATCCACATAACTAAACAGAACTTGGGCCTGTGGGAAAGTGTTGGAATCTTGTAAAAAATGACTTAAGGAACACAGGAAAGATGTCCCAGGACATAACAACAACAAACACTCCCAAAATGTTGAGTTAGGGTAAAAACTAGATTTTTGGAATCTTTAAGTATAGAGAATTGAATAGACTCAATTGCTTAGGACTAATATTTTTAAGCTTTATAAAAACAACAAAACCAGGCAAAAACAATGAGTTTTAAAAGATTTTCTTTAGCTTTTTAACACATTATTTTAACACTGTGATGACATTGGCAGCAAGTACTTAATACAAATAACTACCTCAATAAGTACTTACCAATAGGGCATTAAAAGGTTGTTTTATTTTAAGCACAAAGAAGTTCAAACAGAATACGAAACTGGGCCTCTTGATTGTTAATTCACTGTCTTACTCACAACACCAATGCTTATGTATTTTATTGCGGGTAGTAGTCATTGAAAAGTAAGTGGTTGGTAAGTACAATTCATAACCGAGTTTTTGCTGGGAATATAATGAGAAGTTTAAAAGAAAATAAACACTCGATTACATTCTCAATATTCGATTTTATAAAACACAAATGACATCAATGAATGCAATTTTATTTATTTATTTTTTTTTAATTATTTTATAATTTGTACTCTTGCCAAATGGAAAATGATGTAATGTTAAACAGATACGTTTCCATACAAAATAAAAAGGTTACAATTAACAAAAAATCATCCATAGTTTTTTTGCTTTTTGAAAAGCAAATAGTTGTATTTAAAAAAATCATATTTTTCTCTATTTTGAAAGAAAAAATAAGTCGATAACTGCTTAATGTAGGGGTTAATTTGTTTTTATAATGAAAATAAAAGAAACAGGCAAAACAATTGGATAAATGCCAAAATAGTAAAAAAACAAAATTATGAATGCAAAAACAAAGTTGCCGGTCGCCAAACATAGAAAATATGCTTGCATCCGTATAAAAAAAAAAAAACAAAACAAAAAATATTTTAACATAAAAGAGAAAAAAACTTATGGAATATTTTATTAAACAAAGAAATTATTGTTTTTATACCAAAAATATACTTATGTATAAGCATAGAAAATTATTAAGAAACTTACTAGTTTTGCAAAATATTCATGAACAAAATTAAAAATTTGTAAATCATATAAATGATAAAAATATAATTAATTTAATTTGTTGCTTATTTTTAGCCAGGAATATTAAGTAAATAATAAATAAATATTAAATAATTTTGAAATTGAGATAAGAATACAAAAGATTTATTTATTTAATTTTTTTTAAATTAACATGTTGCAAAAAAAATTTAAATTAAAAATATAAACTAATAGAAAAATAGCAACGTCATTCTCAAAACATTCTCGCTCTCTCTGTTTTACTCTTAAATGTTTGTACTTTTAAATGTATATGAGAGTACATGGAATGCATATTAGACTGATCCTTCAAATATAAATTTGCCTCGAATGGTTCTTATATTGTTTTTTATTAGTTACATACAATAGAAGTAAAATTTGTATCAAATTAATAAAAAAGTAACAGTTTAAAAATCGAGCGAAAATTTGAAAATTTCTTAAATTTTGAAAATTTTAAACTAGTTTATAGGAGCAGATATAATGTTATACATACATATATGTATGTATGTAAATATATATTGAATATATATACACCGAATTTTATATACCATAATACATTTTTTCACCCAGAGTTCAAAGTATATTTTTGCTAATGGATTGTGAAGTGCTGAATCCAAATCTGACCTCAAAATTTATTCATCACATTAGGTTTTCAAAATATCGTTTCATAAAGTTTGAAAACACCTGTTTTTGACACATTTCCGGCGCTAAAAAGGTTCCAAGACACCTTTATTTATAAAATTTTGTATGTAACCTAAAATTCCAAATCCAAATTCTGTTATATTTTCTTTAGATATTCTTAGGTCAGTTTGGATTCAGCACTACTCAATCTTTTAGAAAAGTATACCTTGGTCTCAGGGTTTTGACCATATAGTCGAAAGAGATGACAACCCCTTCAGTTTCGCCTATATACCTACTATATGGTTTCGACTTTATAATTAATAATTTTTATATGAACCTAAATCGCACTATATATTTTACAACAGTCGGTCCACAATATATCTTATTCACTATAGTCGTTAGTAAATCGATTAAATAATTTTTATGAAATACATAGACATTAATTTATTAAGATTGCTCGATAACTGATCAGAGCTCCTAAAGAGGGGCCATTTTCAAAAATCATTCAAATTCTACATAAATAGCTTTCATAAAAACTTGAATCATTCTATCTACTTCCATAACGATCAGTTTATTATACGATCAAGCTCTTCTAAAAAATTATATATAAATTTAAAAAATAAGTAAATTATTGCACTAAAATCTAAGAGGATCGTTCCAAATAAATATTAAATTTTGTCCCATAATTGATCAAAAAATTAACCTTGATTTAATAAAAATAGAGATCTATAGGTATAATAGATCATAGAATTTGATCAATTATTTAAATTACATAATATATTACATCAACCTTTATATAGAGAACCACCTTCTGAAAAGCATTTTTAATATACAAGTCTAAATAACACAGGCCAACGAAATGAAGGCTTAGAAAAACTTTATAAACTAATCTGACTCGATTTCATGTATTTTTGTTTGCTGAAACCGAATCTAATATTACCCACAATTTACTCGGAAATTTGATATAAATATAAAAATAATTTAAGGGTTAATATCGATGTCATTATAAATGTGGGACTTTCTTATACATATATGGGTCAACAACCGTTTTTTAGAGAAATTCATAAAAAAGTTTATAAAGATTAGTCAAAACTTCGGGAAATTGGTTTCGGATTTTGGCCTAAAATTGGTTTTCGGTAGAATGATACAACTTTTATAAATAATATTGCATTGATGACTTGTTTATTTGATTTTGAATAGAGTGCTGTTTATAGATAAAGATCGGTAATTATAAATTTTGTAAAGAGGGTTAATGGAGAAGAGAGCTTCTACAATTAATAGTTTAAATAGTTCTAAAATTGCACAGTTAGTAGCAGTCGTGTTTGAAATTTTGTAACGTTTACAACTAAGTGTAAGTTAAGTAAGTGCATTAAACAATTAATTATAGTTTGAGAAAATGTTTTTGTAAAATGCTGTAAAATAAAATTAGAAATAATTTCAAAATAGTTAACAATATAATTCTTCGCAATATGAAATGATGGTGATTCAAAATTAAATAACCTAAGCATACACTTTTATATATGCATAATTTTATTAGTGAACAAATATCGGTAGTTAATGCTTAAATTCAAAGGAACTTAAAAAGTATTGAACAGATTTCAAAAGCTGTGTTCTGTGTTCAAATCTGATGTCTATAATTTAAATGCTTAAAATATTTCCATCTAAATTAAAAAGAAAAACAATTTTCAAGAAAACTATTTATTATTTCCCCATTTTTAGAATGGATTTCTACTATTTACCCGGTTCAGCTCCCTGCCGCTCAATCATGATGGCAGCCAAAGCTTTGGGCATTAAACTTAACAAGAAATTATTGAACTTACAAGCCGGCGATCATCTAAAACCGGAATTTTTAAAAATCAATCCCCAACATACCATACCCACTTTGGTCGATGGCGATTTTGTCTTGTGGGAATCTCGTGCCATTTTAGTGTACTTAGCTGAGATGTACGATAAAAGTGAAACTTTATATCCCACGTGTCCTAAGAAGCGCGCTGTAGTAAATCAACGTTTATACTTTGATATGGGAACTCTGTATCAAAGCTTTTCCGAATACTACTATCCACAAATCTTTGCTAAAGCTCCCGCAGATCCTGAGAAATTTAAGAAAATGGAAATGGCTATGGATTTTCTAAATACTTTCCTTAAAAATCAAAAATATGTTGCTGGTGATACATTGACTGTTGCCGATTTGGCTTTATTGGCCACTGTCAGCACTTATGAAGTGGCAGGTTTTGATTTTAGTAAATATACGAATGTTGCCAAATGGTATGCTAATGCTAAGGGTGTAGCTCCGGGTTTCGATGAAAACTGGGCAGGTTGTTTGGAATTTAAGAAGTATTTTAATTGATTTATGACGATTTTTAATTGCTATTCAATAAATTCATTTATAATTTTTAAGAGAATTTAATATAGATTTATATAGAGCTTTTATTTAAATATCAACCAAATTTTCAATATTATATTGAAAAAAGAGCTTTAAAAGCTTTTTATTATGGTAGAAACACTTGCAAAATAATATTACAAATTAATTTTTGAACTTAAAAAAAAATATATATAAATAAATAAACAAATAATTAAAAAATATATTTTTTTTAAAAACAAAATTTATGAAAAAATAAAAAATTGCTTTTTTTAAAAATGCGTTTCTATTTCGGAATACAGAGTAAATATAAGAAGACTAGACGCTTTTGAGCTTTCTATAAGAAAAGAACTTTAAAAGTTTTTTATATGAAACCTAAACATTTGTTTTTGTAAATAAAGTAAACAAAAGCTTTTTAATTTTTTTTTTAAGAAAAAAGTGATATCTTTGTATTTATAAGAAAATTTTTCCAACAAATTTCATATTAAAAAGCTTTGAGCTTTATATAAGAAAATAACTTTAAATGTTTTTATTAGGAAAAATACAAATTTTGTGTTTGTAACTGACGTAAACAAAAGCTTTTTAATCTTTTTTTAAGAAAAGCTTTAAGCTTTCTATAAGAAAATAATTTAAAAGTTTTTATTAGGAAAGCACAATATTTTTTGTAATTTACCTAAACAAAAGCTTTCTTTAAGCAAAAAGTATTTTTTAAGCAAAAGTGTATTCATAACAAAAAGTTTCTGAAAAATGTTTCTTTAAAAAGCTTTGAGAAATTTCAAAACCTTACGTGGCCTTTGAATAACATTACTAACTGACGTAAACAAAAGCTTTTTAAGAAAAAAGTGGTCACTTTGTATTTATAACTGAAATTTTCTAACATATTTCACATTAAAAGGCTTTGAGCTTTCTATAAGAAAATAACTTTAAAAGTTTTATTAGAATAGCAGAATATTTGTTTTTATAACTGACCTAAACAAAAGTTTTTTAAGCTTTTTTAAAGCAAAAAAGTCGTCTCTTTGTATTTATAACAAACATTTTCTAACAAATTTCACATTAAAAAGATTCGAGCTTTCTATAAGAAAAGAACTTTAAAAAGTGTTTATTATAAAACACAACATTTGATTCTCTAACTTGCCTAAACAAAAGAAAAACTTTTTGGGCGAAAAATGGTCTCTCTAAATTTATAACAAAAAGTTTCTAAAATTTATTTTTAAAAAAGCTTTGACCAATTTTAAAACCTTACGTGGCCTTTAAATGACATCACTAACTGAGTAAAAGTACTTTTTGAGTGTAGGGTATTTACATCTACTTAAAAAAAACAAGTTTTATTGTTATTCATTGTTTTTTGTTAGCAAACATCAACAACAAATATGTTTTTTTTTATAAATTTTATAAAACTGACAAAATTTGCAATAATATTTTATTTGTTTTTAAAAAAATTTTGCCGGCTGTGTGTTTTTTATCTCTTTTACTCTGCGTCTCTTTTCTCGTTTCTTTTTAATTTTACATTTACTCTATCTGCCATTATTCATGGGGTTTTGTTTGGTTGTTTGTTTAGAGATAAGAGTTTGCAATAGTGAATTTCTAAAGAGGACTAATGAGGGGCTTCGTCATCGAATAGTTTAAATAGCTCTAACTCTCCAAGATACCGACAGTCGTACGTTGAATTTTGTAACGTTCACAGCCAAGACAAACTAAAGCATAAAAAGTAAGTGTACATAAAAAAATTGTTTTTTTTTCTTTAAAAAACCGGCAATAAGCAAAGTTGAAAAAAGTACAGTGTTTTAATTTTTTTTTTTTTTGAATTAATAAAAAAATATATAGTGAAACTTAAACCTACAAATTAATTGAAATATAAATAAAACTTGTTGCTGCAGTAGTAGCTAAAAAGAAGAAAAATTCCATGAGAGAATTTTCTAGAAACATTGTTGGAAAATGTCTGTTTTTTCAAAAAACTTAACCAGTGTGAATTTAATTAAAAAAAACTATTTTATTAACATCCGCTTTGAAACAAAAGTTTCTAATTTCAGTTTTTTTGTTATATGTCCAATTTTAGTAACCATGGATTTCTACTACTTGCCCGGTTCCGCTCCCTGCCGCTCAGTCTTGATGACTGCTAAAGCTCTCGGCATTGAGCTTAACAAGAAATTGTTGAACTTGCAAGCTGGCGAACACTTGAAACCCGAATTCTTGAAGATCAATCCCCAACACACCATTCCCACTTTGGTCGATGGTGATTTCGCCTTGTGGGAATCTCGTGCCATTATGGTTTACTTGGTTGAGAAGTACGGTAAGAACGACTCCTTGTTCCCCAAGTGCCCCAAGAAGCGCGCCGTCATCAACCAACGTTTGTACTTCGATATGGGTACCCTCTACAAGAGCTTCGCTGACTACTACTACCCACAAATCTTCGCCAAGGCTCCCGCTGATCCTGAGTTGTACAAGAAAATGGAAGCTGCTTTCGATTTCTTGAACACTTTCTTGGAGGGTCAACAATATGTTGCTGGTGACGCCTTGACCGTTGCCGATTTGGCTTTGTTGGCCAGTGTCAGCACCTTCGAAGTAGCCGGTTTCGATTTCAGCAAATATGCTAATGTTGCCAAGTGGTACGCTAATGCTAAGACTGTTGCTCCCGGTTTCGATGAAAACTGGGAAGGTTGCTTGGAATTCAAGAAATTCTTCAACTAAATTATAAGTTATTATTTTTTGTTTTTCATTTAATTTTTAATTTTTTTTTAATAATTTATATTTTAATTTATTAGAGTTAAAAACAATGCACAATATAATTTTCTAATTTATTAGAAAAGTAAATAAAAAAAGATATTTTTCTAAAAAAAACTTAATTTTGAAATGTTTTTTTTTTCCTAATCTTTTAAAATGCTTAGAAAAATCATGATCTAAGTTAAAAATATTAAATATTATTCAACAAAACAAAATGTTTGTTGTGCCTTAATGGTTTGTGTACAGCGTATGTAGTTTTTAAAACAATTAGAAAACATTATTACTTAATGCCAACAATCATAAGGTAATTGAGTTTTTCTTACAAAGATTTCATTAAGAGACCCTGACCTTATCCAATATAAAATATTAAACAACTGTATTATACTTTTTTTCAATTATTTTGACTAATGCAATAGAAAACTAAATATTTTTGTAAAAATATCGTAAAATAACTTAAAAAGCTAAAAACTAGATTTTTAATACATTACCAGCAAAAACTCGGTAATGACTTGTACTTACATAACATCTTACTTTTCAATGACCACTAAATATTGTAAAAAGGCCTTATAACTAACTTCTTTTCAATGAAAGTTTTTGCTGTTAGACCAGTAGCTATCACATTTCAGAATATGTAATTTGTAAACGATAAAAAGGTCAGATGTCATGTAAAATTTAAAAAAATAATTAAAACTGTACATACAAACATCAGCACAAACGCATAATACCCTCCCCACTATAGTGGTGTAGGGTATAAAAAATTAGTTTTAAATGGATTTATTACTTGTTATTTAATTTCTATCAGATTTTGTGACAATTGCAATTATTTCAATATAAGTGAAATTGTAATATTTTTGTATGTCAATGAAATAGAGTTAAAACAGTTAATCAATATTAACCCTCAGTTGACCAATGTGTAAATTATTTATATTTGTTGTCAAGACAAGTAAATCAAGTAACAATACTAATTCCTCTATACTATACACAGTTCGTTTCATAGACATAATGTACATCAAATGAAATATACTTTGAATATCTCAACTTTAATCATAATCGTATATAGATCTTCTAGAAATATTAGTGATTATTCAATATCTTTACTTTCGTCAAACACTCATATTTAAAAATTTGCTTTAATTTAATTTTTTTTCTACGAAAAGTTGATTGATCAAAAGTCGTTTGATAGAACCTATATTCCGAGATTTTCGGATATCAAAAACACATAATACCCCGTTTTTCTTTATACGATTTTTTATGATTAAAATATTGGATTGTTCTTTGGCCTATTATTCAGAAAAGACCTAGAACCACGATTGGCAATGTATATGTCTATCTGCCGATCGCTGTTCTAGAATGATAAAACAGTGCAAACATACTCTACTTTACTAAAAAAAGACGGCAAGCTTTTACTACCAACAGTGCTGCCATATTTCAATTATTACCTTTGATTAATTTTCTTCTACATTTTCTTTTTAAAGTGGAAACAAAGTTTGGTTAACCACAAGTTACGACGAGTTTCTGAAAATTTTGTAAATAGGAAAATATATTTACAGGTAAAATATTATTAATTTTCTTAATTGAAATTAGTTAATAATTTAGATATTATTGTTTAGTGTAAAATTATGTTTGAAAAAAAGTTCTTTATAGATTTTGAAAGCAAGTAAGACTAAAAACCAGCCACGTGGATGCTTTCTAGGGTATTTAATATAAAATTAAAAAAATCGTGACTAAACCCACAAAATTTTCTCCCACAACTTAAAAACTCTTTAAATATATTATTTTATAAGATTTCTTTTTTGGTTTTAGAACATGACTTCATAATATCTAATAACTTTTTTAATTAAAATTATTCTAGCGTAAATCATTAATTTAAGCTAATTACAGAAAATAATTATCAAAAAGGAATTTTTAACGAAAATCTAAACAACTGTTTTCAAATATGAATTTTGGCTAACAATGATAGGAATTTGTTTTGAATGCATGTCTCGCTATTAAGAAATCATAATAATGAATAAATATTGAAATATTATGCGAATTATTATGCAATAAATATAATACTGATGATTGAAATTGTTAAATAATAGTGTCACTGAAATTAGGGGATTGCTTAAAAAACAAAGTGTATCCAAAATCCAAATAATAATAGGAAACTGTTGTAGAACTTGGTCTACTTGGATCTATCTATCTATCTATCTATCTATCTATCTATCTATCTACTATCTATCTATCTATCTATCTATCTATCTATCTATCTATCTATATCTATCTATCTATCTATCTATCTATCTATCTATCTATCTATCTATCTATCTATCTATCTATCTATCTATCTATCTATCTATCTATCTATCTATCTATC